ACTATACTACACCTTGCTCGACCGTGATACAATATTTTACCAATCAATACTATTCTTTACTACACTATGGGATACTAGACTATACCATACTATACTTCGTGTTACTATTTGTATTCCTAGTACTACTTTTATTCCTATCATTACCATTACTATTTCTAGCACTATGGGTATTACTGTTATTATCATCATTACTATACTATACTATACTATACTATACTATACTATACTATACTATACTATACTATACTATACTATACTATACTATACTCATGCTTGTGTGTCTGAACAGATGTGCAGTGCAAGGGTAGAAAACACAAAAAATCATCCCACACAACAGTCCCCTCTCCAGAAGAGGGTTTAGGGCCCTGAAGAGTGGGTTTAGGGTTTAGGGTTTCATAGACTTCGCAGATTGTTGATGGGTAGTTTAGGGTTTAGGGTTCTCTAGTGAAGAAGGCGGTACCCTTATAAAACGCATCCTGGAAGGGACCCTAGTTTAGAGAACTATCCAGATAGTAGTTGGTTTCGTGATGTAGAGTTTCAGAGACAGATCCAGGCACTCGGTATATGGATTTGGTAAAATGTGTTCCAGACTGGCTGTTCACGTAGGGTTTATAAGAGTTCTATTTGGGTTTTTACGGTTTTGTAAGAGCTCCATGGGTTTCAGATAATGTAAACCTGTGATTCCCCCGCCCCAGCCCCCAGCCGCAGCCCCAGCCGAAAAGCATTGCATTGCAATAAGGATCCGCCTTCAATGCTCTTGCAAAGGGGGCCGGGTTATGTTGAAGCTGCAGGCGTAAGGCCCGTGGACCCTCAAAACAGGATCATTTGGATGTACATGGAAACGTGTACGTTTTTGACGTTTCCGCTCCTATGTTTTTGAAGGGCGAGCCAACATACCCATACATACCCTAGACCCCAAACCGTTAAGCCTTCAAAAGCAGGGGCGGCTTTGGTGGCGGCCAACTTTAGCAGCTCTTTCCGCGTTCCTGGGCCTCATTTGGAGAGGTTTGGGGTTTAGGCTTAGGGTTTAAGGTTTCAGGTAGAGGTTTAAGCGTTTGCCGTGCATGCTGTATCTTTGTTCTTCGTTGGAAACATACGTTTTTTGTCAGACGCTGTTTCGGAGAGGCTTAGCGGGCGTGGCTTGATGCCATATTGATATTGACGAAGGATTCTTGCCGATACAGTTCCTGATTCTGCGAAGCTTGTACTTTAAATACTATACCTCCGGGGCCCCATACCCCGTATCTACTCTAATCATAAAGATTCGAATGACACCTGATTTCTAGTTGAACCAACTGCCAACTGCTGAAGCGAATCGTTTATGCACTCGCGACTCTGAGCTTTGCGGCATAGGGGCGTACCAATATACATAAATGCATCCGCACATGCATATACATGCATAAATGCATACATGCATACATACTTGCAGACAGACAGACAGACAGACAGACAGACAGACAGACAGACAGACAGACAGACAGACAGACAGACATACATACATACATACATACGTACAATTACAGACATACACGCACACACATACATACACACACGCAGAAATAGACATGCACACAGACATACCTACATACACACACACACATACACACATACACACACAACACGGATACACGCATATACACACACATAGACACATATATGCATGCAACATGCATACCTACATATACCTACATACCTACATACATACATACATACATACATACATACATACTTGCTCACTTGCCTACATGCACACTGTTCAAATGTTCAAGTATACATATAAAAATGTGTATATATATATATATATACATGTACATACATCCCGCTACACACACACACACACACATATATATATATATATATATATGCACAGATTCTAAGAAGGTGCCGCAGCCTCGCCCAACAACACCTACTTTGGGTTTCTCCCAGGTGAAGAAGATCTTCTTCTCCGACCTTACGGCTCACTCCTACGCCGTGCAGGCCGAGACTTTGTAGCTTTCCGGGTGTTTGAGGGGGAGGTTTAGGATTTAGCCTTGGGAGTGGGAGCAGGGCTTTGAGGTCCGGGGTTCTCATAGCAACCCTAGACACTAAACCGCTTTCAACCGGCAAGACAAGACTTCTGCACCGGAACTTTGAACCCTAAACGCTTGTTCTTTACGCTGTTGGGGTAACCCAGGGCCCGTTTCTGCAAGCCATATCCCGAGCCCCGAACCGCCGACATCAGAGCACTCATTGAAGGTCCCGATATCATAGTTTCCTGACAATGAGCCATTTAGGCCCCCTCAAGGGAACCCGCTTCAGGATTTAAGGCCAGGGTTCAGGGCTTCGACTTTCCCAAATTGGGAGCTTCACAAAAAAAGAAGGGCCCTGAGATCGACCGTAACGCCGTAACTAGGGCTTAGGGTTCAGGGTGTAGGATTTTCGAATGTTCAGATAGTGTTGTGATTTTTTAAAGGGCTCCTACAAGGGTAGTATAAGGGTTCAGGGGGTCAGGGTTTAAAGTGACTGGGCATGAGTCTACGGGCTTCTACGACGAGGTCTATCGGCTCGGATAGGGCATGACAGTGGCCTCCAATCCCGTCGGTTGTGTCGAAGATACTTTGGGGGGACATAGGAGTCCTGCACAACCGAACCCTAAACCCTGAACCTAAACCCTAAACCCTAAACCCTAAACCCTCTAAGTTCATGTTCGGGCTGAGGGCAACTATTCTGGGAACTACAGGGTCCCCTAGAGACTCTCAAGTAAGAAACATACTTTTTAGGGTTTTAAATTAGGGTTTAAGGTTTAGGGCCGTTTAGGGTTTAAAGTTTAGGGAAGAACATACCTTAAACCATGTTTCGGATCTCCTGGATAAGTTAGGGTCTATTCCTTAAGTACGGGGTTTTGGTGTCTCTGCATCCAGGTAAACACCTGGAATCTCCTCACCCTGAAGCCAAAGCAGGACTGTCAATACGGCGGTTTAGGGTTTGGGGTTGTAGAGATCTTCTAGATAAGAGCAGCCACTTGGATTTGGATTAGTATGTTGGCCTGAACCCTAAACCCTAAACCCAAACCCTGAAAAGTTGGCAGTGGCAAGTTCGTTCTAAGATGCAGGAGCTTATTTCTGCTTCCACATGCCCTGACTCCTGACCCAACAGGCCGACGTACTGACACCCTACACCCAAAACCCCTAAACTCCAAAATCTACGCCCGTCTAGCACTACGAAGCTTTCATGGAACACGTACAAAAGCCTAAAACCTGAAACCCAAGCTCTAAACCCAAAACCGCAAACCCTAAACTCTAAGCTTTGAGACAAGAGGTGACGGCACTCGACGGATCGTGGGAGAAGAACCTCACGACTCTGCACCCACTAGGGGACGGTGTAGGGTTTAGAGTTTATGCTTTGAGGTGTAGAGTTGAGGATTTAGGGTTCCATGTTTGGGGCTAAAAGTTTAGGGTCTATATACTGTTTGGGATTCGGCTAGGACCTTAGAATCTTGGCTTTCGTCTTGGCTTCTGGGTTCTTGTCAGGGTCCAAAAAGTCATAACTTGTGAAAAGGGCCCGGAGATGTCCTAAGGGCCAAGAAGTAAACCCTAAACCCTAACAAGGTTGAGGGTAGCAGGCTTCGATCTTCAGAACTGGAATCTGTCGTGCGTTCAAGCTTCGAGATAAATGAGTGGCCTTGTTAATTAGAATCTTATTCCTTGCAGAGTTCCTATGAAGGTTCTGAAAGCGGGTGTTATCGTAGGGGTTTAGTATAATGTTTTTAGTGAAAGTGATTAGAATTGGGTTCGGAGGTACATGTTTGGATGAATACGATACGAAGCCTGAGGGATAATAGTGGTGTTTATCCCGGCTTCCATATCGGCCCAAAATCCGAAGAATAGCGTGTCATTCCTTGATTAAAGCACAGACCTTCTGGTTTAGGTTCAGGGGTTTGGATAAGGTATGAACCTGATTAAGAAACCCTGGCACTATAGCTCCAATTTACATTAGGAATCATATCAAGATCCCTGATAAAGACCCAGGGTGTCTTAATCAGGTTCCTGCATTATCTTACAAGAACCTTTAGCCCGAGCCGACGAAGACCCTCGACAAAACCAACACCTTCTGAGACCGGTGTCGGATCCAGCGTTTAGGGAAGAACGCTTTTGGCCGAACAAATGAGGGAGCGCAGGTGCTGTAATACAACGTGTACAAACCTGGATAGTTACTAACGCAGTTCCTTAGATTGTTTAAAATTGTTAAAGTGTGACGCCAGGCCGCTCTGTTAGATGAGGCTTGAGGGTCCTTACTCCTTTGTTACTTTGTTGTGAAAGGTCCCAAGACGGGAATATCAGGCCCACCACAAGACCTTGATGAAGACTCCCTAAACCCAAATCCTAAACCCTAAACCTCATAAGCCCTAAACCCCTAGCCCCTAAATCCCAAGGCCCTTAATGTAGGGGTCACACTCATGTAGCACTACTTCAGCCAGTTCAAGTCCCAACTTTGGCGAAAGCACCACAGGTTTAGGGTTGAAGGCTTTGTGGGTTTCAGGGCTTAGGGCTTTCTGGGTTTTGGGTTTAGGGCGTTATTGGGGGTTAATTTCCTAATGCGGTGCTCTGGGACATTTCAGGTTTGTTTAAGATGCAGATGTGCGGTTCAGGGTTGAGGGCAGGGTTTAGGGCTTAGGGTCTAAGGTTGAGGGGTCGTAAATATGCAAACTTTCGCTTGACGACCCCTGGCGTAGAACATCTCGACATGTCCGGTACTTGTTGGCGCTCGCTTGTCTTAATCCTCTATATAACGAAAGAGTAAAACCCTCTCTGCAGTAGACTGCAGAGCAAAGTCTTGCATCGAAAATGTGAGAATAGGTAAAGTTACTGAGCTTTCAGGTACCCTGTCGGAGCACCGCTAGGCGCCTTCGTGTCGCCGCTTCTTGAGATGAGGACCTGAACCCCAAGACCTAAACCCCACGCCGTGAATGAGGGGGTTAATAGTTAGAAGAGGGAGTGGGGATGCATTGTAGTTTAGTCAACTACAAACAGCTGTTCGGGTCGTTATGTACACGAAGCCCTAAGCCTTAAACTCCTACGCCCCTCACCCCTAAACCCTAAACCC